AGAGAGAGAGAGAGAGAGAGAGAGAGAGAGAGAGAGAGAGAGACAGGGTTTTATGGTTGCTCCTCACTCAACTGTGAGGTTCTGTTTTGTTTTTCAGATTGTGTCTGAATCATCTTCCAGTCTCTAACATCTAACATGCTATGCAGCACATAGTAGGTGTTAAACCTTTGCTGAATGCATGAATGAAAGGGTTACAGTGTCTCTCTGGGGCTTCCTCCTCACAATATCGCCAAAGTCTGACCCACACACAAGCCAAGGGCATCTCTGCAGAACAGATTTTCTCTTCCCTGTGGAGATTTTCCTGCCATTCACAGCAAGCTCCATTCTAACAAGCAGCAGCAGAACTGTGAGATGAATGCATTTCCCAGGAGCCCACGGGAACAAGGAGCTGGGCCAGAGCCACTGCGGCTGGCCTCACTAACCCTGGAGGACAGCTCTGCCTGCAGTGACAAGGAGGCCACCCAGGCAGCACTGATGTGGCCAGAGTAGCTGGAACCCGGGTGGTCAGCCTCTGTGGCTGAAGTGTGGGTGCATGGAATGCACCCGGTGCCCACCAGCCCAGGATGCTGGTCCTGCTTGGGCAGGAAACCTGGCCAGCCCAGTCTGGGACCGAGAGCAGTTCAGGGGCTCCCCAGCTCTCCAGCTGCCCAGAGCTGACTGAAGTGGCATGGAGGAGTTTGGTTTCCCACACTGACAAGGGCACAGGCGTCAATTCCAGACACCCACACTTCCCAGGAAGGAGGCTGTTCTCAGAAGGGTGCTTCTGTTGCCACTCACAAGGGACCTTCGTAAGAATGAGGAGGACCTGCTCCCATATGTGTTCAGGGACCAGAGTCCTCCAATTTTGGATCCAAAGAGTTAATGCTGTCGTATGCTCCCAGCCCTGCTACCCTCTCACCTCCACACACTGCTCCATGCTGCTGCCCATCCTACATCGGCTGGACACTGGTCTTGCTTACATGAGGACAGCTTGAGGCCAGAGAGGATGGGGGTCAAACTCAGATGAGGATGGCAGCCCAGCCCTCCTGTGGACCTGTGTGCTGGCCTGGTTTCCTAATGTCTTGATTTCCTAAACTCTTGGCATTAGCAACATACGTCCCATGGGGTTGCTTTGCTTCTAGCTCAAAGTGTGCCTGGTACTGAGGCTTTCACACGCATAACCAGCTGATGCTAAACAGCATCCTTCAGAGAATGCAGAAAGACAGCCTACGCTATGGAAGGTGCAGGGCCACTTCCATCCCAGCTCTGGCTGCCTTCAACCCCAAAGCTCTTTGCCTGGTACCCCAGATGGTATCATAACTGTTTTCCTGATTAATCCC